GGCCATCACAGCATCCCCATGATCACATGATCGTGATTCAGGTGCTTGGCAACTGGCTTGCAATTACAATGGTTGCAGTGTCCTGTGGGCACATGATCGCCATTTGCGACCTTCCCACAAGTAAAGTCAATGGGGAAGCTGGCAGGAGGTCACAAATCACTCCGACTCCTGCCACTTTTTCTCCTGAGCAGGCTCTGGGTGGCATGGGGATCTCGTACTCTACCACCTGCCCTCCATAGCACCCACTCTTGGTGTCCACCCACGGCACCCATCTGCCCATAGCTCTTGCCTGTCGACCTGCTTGCCTGGGATGCAGTTTCAGCACCTCTTCCCATGTCAGGGACACGTGAGGTCCTCACTTCATGATGGCAACAGGGACTGCTGAGATTGCTGTTGCTAAGTGATCCAGTCATATGATGTCATACTTTATGACCTTATCACTTAGCAATGGAAATTCCATTCCCAATTGCTATTGTAACCCGAGAACTACCTGTAGGTGAAAAGGGAACAAAAATCTTCCTAATGTGTTGTGTTTGCTTGCTCCTATATTTGTGAGATACTCAGAAAATTAAAGCAGTGAAATGGTATACCATGGAAATTCAGCATTACCAGTGTAATAAACTTCCTTGTAATCAGTTGTTATAAACAATAATGCTTTGAAAAGAAACATATCTTGTATGGATGAAACCTGACCTTTTTTCCCCTTTTGGGAATTTGTTTTAAGGTATAACATTTCAGTGGAATATTCACTGTAATAGGGTTCCATAAGGTTCTAATTAACCTTAATTCCATTAAAGGTGAGGCATATGAAAATAATCCATTGCTACAAATGAAGACATACCACATTTAAAATACAATCCCAATATACAGGAACTGTACATAATAATTTTCTATTAGAGCTGTAGAGTTTTTGGAGGTAACAAAGTTTATATTTGTTTAAAGTTGGAAAAAGTGAAACAATGCACTTTAATAGGCACATTTTTCCTTACAAGCAATTTGAGTTTTTATTGTTTTAAACATTTTTAAATGCTGTCTATAATTGCCAGCCATACTTTGGATTTCCTCAAGCGTTTGAAGACAATAAGGTATCAAGGTGGTGATGAATGTTATTGCTTTGAAAGAAGAAAAACCTCATATTTTCTGTTCTCTTTTCTCTAATAGAAAAAGTCTATTAGAATTGCTTTATTGTATCATTATGAAAACTCCTGGCACAGCTAGCTATAGTTAAAATATTTATTTTTTTAATTGTTAAAATGTATGTGAGAAAATAATTTTTAAATATAGTATCAGATGTTTTTCCATTCATTGCTATATTTAAATTGTAGCCGCTTTACTTCCATAAAGTTAATAGATTAGATTAGTATTTGTTAATGTTAAATCAGTCCTTTTCCTTTCTTCTGTTGCTTTTTAAATGAAATAAGTTCTTTTTCAGAAGCCCCAGAACAGGTATGTGCCCATCTGAAAATCAACTGTGTTCCTTTCTCCATAGTTTGCAGTACTTTCAGAGTAAAGTTACAGTTTATGTCAATCATATATCAGTAATACATTGGTGAATCCTTGTGCATTTTTTTTAGCTAAGACCCTTAAGATATTTCATTAATTAGCAGTAATGAGCCAAAAGTCTAGAATACACCATAATACTATCCCAGTGGAATAAAATGAGCTGCGTAATATGGCTATGCAGATTTTTCAGTGATGCTTCACTTGTGAATGAAGTGTCTTTTTGGATCAGGAGGGGGGCAAGCTGTGAAGTTTCTTCAGCTGAAGCTTTGGCACAGGTGCTTCATGTACCTTCTGAAGTCTTCTGTTTGTGTTTTGGGATGCACCTCTGCGAAGTGGTTGGCACATTTACTTTGTCTTCTGGATATGTATTGAGCCTCCAAGCCTCTGCTGCTCTTTTATGCATGCATGCTGCACATCCAGAGAGATCTCTGAAGGGTCTGCATAGCCCTACTGCATAATTTAAAGAAAGCATGCACCTATTTCTAGATGTTTAAGTTTATTCTGAGGTAGACAGAGAGGAAGATTTTAAAGAAGATATTGAATTGTATTCTTGCTCATTTTGAAGCTGAATAAAGCCACATTCGGATAGATCCAATGGTTTGTTTTGTTTTACTGCTAACAGGGATATCCACAGAGGCCTGATCAGCATTTTCCCACTCTCAAGGATTTTTTTTTAAGAAGGAGAAGGAGGTTCTTACCTATACCTAAATAATTCCTCTCAATTTTCCAGAGTACTTATTTGAAGGGGGTAAAGGATCTGGAAGAAGAGGTGACGGAAATTGGCAAAGACCTTGTCTCTTACTCTACCATTCAGCCAGTTGGAAAGCTCTGCTGGATGAAAAGCTTCCCAGTGACAGAAAGAATACTTCCGTTCTCAGAAGCATAGGAAAGTCTTTGTATCTGAGAGCTGAGGAGCCTAGGAAGTTGTAGCTGTGGCTGTTAAGCTTTCTTTTTGTGTAGTAAAGAGCCTTCATAGACTTGGAGCAGTAAATACAATAAATTGCTGTTAACATTTTTCCTCTGTGATAATCAAGAGAATAATTATGGTACACAAATATTTATTGGTATCCAGTCTTTGGTGACTATTGTGTATTTGTCATAAAAAGTAAAAGAGGTAGATACAAGCATGGCTACAATTACATCCATGTTTTTGTGATCATTCCTGGATGTACTTTGATTCTATAAATATATCCTTGGAAATGCTTCCCATGGATTTCAGCGACATTTGCAGTCCAGTGTGAGTAAAACTGGGATACAGATTTCTGAGGTGTAGAACTGAAATGCACCAGTTACCTGCCACTTAAAGTAAATGCTATGCAGCACACAACTCTTCCTTATGTTTTTCATATGCTGTATGTGACAGCAGTATGTTATACAACCTACAGTATGATTTCACAGCCCAGAAACTGGGTTGAAAGTCTAATGTGTGAATGTGGCATTGACAGTGGCTTCAAACCCACCAAGAATCCAAGACTAGTTAAATTCAGGAACATTTCACCTAGCTAGATGCTTGCCACCTTCTCCAGTTCTGTCTGAATGTGCTGATGATTCTAAGTGTTTCCCTTTCTAGATACTATTGCCTGTGTTGGCTGACCTGTAATACTGTATTGAGGGTGTTTCACTGTAATCATTCTGAAAACATTTCATTTTTACTCTATTGATATCCAGCTGTTTGCTTTGCATTATAAAACTTATTTCCCATTCTAATTTAATAAATGTATACCACATCATTTACGGCCATGGTTTTTTTATGGGAAGCATGTTGCTTCAAAGCATGAGGCTATCTGTATTCAGTGAGATGTAGACAGTCTTAGCAAAACATTAGTAGTTTGTATTCAAATACAGAATATCTAACATTCATAAAGCCTCCTTGACTAATTATTCATTTGTCTGTGTGTAATGGAATATCTCCAGTGCAGGGATAAATTCTTTGAAGGCTGGAGCAAATCAGTTTAAAATCAGTAGGCTTCAAGGACTGGAGTGTTGCCCTTGAATCACAGAAATCTAGATTTGAGTTGATTCTCTGTTGATTCATACTGCAGTTCTTCACAAGTAGTATGGCAGGAATAGTAGCTATTTCAGTATAGTTGGACTTCAGCAAATTTTATTATTTTTTTTAATGTTGCCCATTAAGATTACTCAATTGTATAACCTTGCAAACCTTATTTGCCTATGTTAAATTGTATTGCTTTAAACTCTCAGTCTCTCACCTAAAGGTTTTTCTCCTAGTCAGTATGAGTGTTTGACAACACTTTCTTCCCCACAGAGATACCCATGCATAAAGCCTTATGTGGGAATGGTCTAATGCTGTGGAAAGCTTTTGCAAGAAGCAAGCCATTTGTACACATTCCACAAGGGGTGGTTGCACAGTTTCCTCGGCTCCTTCTCAGTTATCACAGCAGCAGCAGCAGGGACCTTTCTCTGTGTCCAATTGGAAAGCACTGAGGAAGAGACCATTTTATTATTTTTCTACTCCTTGTTTGTTCTTTTTTTATGGGAATAAAAGAAAAGAGAAGTAGGAAAAGGCAGAGGAGGTATTTCTAGATACTTAATGGGTTGTATGCTCCCTACAGGATTTTAAACTTATGGCAACAAAAACACTTTTCTGCAAGTATATGACTATGCCTGCTGCAGATGGCCACTCCTGATTCCCTTGGGGGATGCCATAATTATCAAGGCTTGTCTACATTGTCAACTTTTTATAAAGGAGGCCCATTGGAAGTAATGGTCCCATTTATAGGCATTACTTTGGAAAAAAGCATTCTTGACAGCAAGTCCAACAATTTCAATTTAGTTGGATCTTGGCACAGTTTCTGTGGATGATCCAAATGCTATGGCCCCAGCTGTCTGTTTCAGTCTGTCTTGGGCACCATACTGTTGCTGTCCTGGTAACTTGAGTATATACTGGCTTGATCATTGGTTAGATGCAAAAAACCAAATCCCCAGCATTTATATTATTGAAATCTGAAGAAAATAACTCTATTGCCCACTCAAGATTCTTTGTCATGTTGGGTAAATCATAAAAATCTAATTGAAGGATGTAAATTGCAGCCATCTTTTCCTTTGTGCATAGTTAAACAGATATATCAATGGTCAACTGAGGAAACCGTCTCAGATCAGTTCAGACTCATAGCTGTATTCAGAACTCTGATGTCCTTTGAACTGTTCCTTTAAGACCAAGTGACCAAAATAGTCTTCAACAACAATTTGGTGGAGTAATATATCAACAAGCAAGGTGGAACACATAACCAAGCACTGCTCA